TTACCTTACATGTATTTTGGTTGTGTTGTAAATTTTATATTTTTGTTGGTATTACGGGGCATGTTTGGTAATCCGCCCTTGATATTTTATTTTTGTTGATATTAGTAGATATGTTTTTTGTTGGATATTAGGAGATGTGTTTGGTAATTTGCATACGGTTGATATTATATTTTTATGGATATTAGTAGATGTTTTTTTGTGAATATTAGATCTAGGTCGACTGCCACTTAAAAATACTATTTGTTACAGAGCCCAACTCAATAATAAACTTTATAGGTTTGTGATTTAGAGTTTTAACTCAAAAGGCGCCTCCATAATGGAGGTGTCCTATAAATCCATCTTAAACATAAGTTAACAACCGATTTGAAAAGTGAGAATTGCTTTAGTTACTATGATTTGTATGAGAAGAAAAAGAAGTATTTAATAAGAAACTATATATTATGCAATAAGGTAATCAATTTTAAAACTTTTTTTATCAACAAAAAAGAACACTCATGAATACTTGATGTAGGACAAGATTATAAGAATTTTTGTATTTTTAGTTTTAATAGTTTTGATAAATTATTTTATTAGGATTCTTGTAATTTAGTATAAATAATTTAGAATTATTAGGTTTCTTAATTTTATTATTTTGGAATTAGATTTTGACTAGGATTTTAAATAGTTTAGAATTCTAGTTTCCTATTCTCTTAGGTTTTCTAATTTTTGTTGATTTAAATTTCTTAGTTTATTTTAGAATTACTTTTCCTACAAGTATTAGATTTAGTTTATTATAAATAGCTATGTAAGTCTCACGGCAAAGACAACTTTTATTCAACTTTTATTCATTCAATAATATTTTTTAAGAGTTTTTCTTCTATTTTCCTTATGGATTCAAAGGTGTTCTTGTGGATTCAAGAATTCTCGTCTACTAGAACGATATCTAGTCTCGTGTGATTTATTTCGCCGCGTCACAAGTTTACCAAAGCTATTCAGAAAGTGTTTCTGCATTAGCTAGTTTTGACCATCGTATTTTAGGATGCAGACGCCGGCAAACCTCCAGCACTCATCGAGAGGTGGTGAATATATTTTAAGAAATCTATGGTATCACACAAGTTTCAGTTTGCTTCTTTTCTTATTATTTGTTCTTAAATTTTTCAGAATTTAGTTTACCCCAACAAGTTCTAATATTTAGTTATCCATGTTAATAATTTGTTTTTTTAGTAATGTAATCTAATTTATTTATGTATTTAATTGTGTCATTTATTATGTATTTCATCCTTTAATAAAAAAATTTGTTTTGTCATTTTTATTTAATTTATTTTATATATTTTTCTTGGATTATTATGAAAAAATACCAATAACTTCTACATAAATAACACAACCAATCAATAAAGAAAAGGAAAGTGCAAAACATATCAAAGCTAAACAATCCCATCCCATCTAGGCTAGCATAGAACATGAAGCACAATTATTTGTGAGCACAACCCAAACAACAAATCTGTTGGAGAGGATCTAACCAGGGCAACAACATAAAAACACAATAACAATCATATAAATACCATAACAATCAATCTTAAAACATACCAACCAATGAAAAGTTATTACAGCTGTATGTAAGTATTTGTAAAGTTCAAAATTTATTCTTGGCTACTAGTGTAGAGCAACACAACAATAAAAAATACCTAGACTAGACTAGAGAGGATGCAGTAGGAAGAGATGACTGCTGCCGCATTTGTATTTGGTCCCTTCTTACAGAGTTGAACTTGTTTCGAACCCAATCAAATGAATTTGCGACTGTCTGTGAGTTGAAGTTGTCTCGCCCCCGAACAATTACATTTGCAAGTAACCGATCAACAAAGCGGACGATGAATCCATTAGACAAAATGTTTGTCAGAATCATGGGCAAGAATAGTACCCATAAAATAAGTTGGCCGAGAAAACTTGTGAGACAAAGTGAAACCAGGGAAATACAAGAAATAGGAGATGGAAGTAACATAGCCTTCCATTTAAGGGAAAGTTTCACAGGTGATTTGCATTTAGTTAAAAAGTCCTGGTGCCAGACAGTAGATACATATGGTTATGAGGAAAGTCCATATGTTTACAATGTGTGCCTCAAATGGATTCACTGTCTTGCCATTATACATCAATGGGAGGAGAGAGATTAGAAATGGAAGGCATTTGTATATGGCATTGCATGGAGGAGAGGAATTCCCACTTTGTACAATCATATGCAATCACAAACAAAAATCAACAATTAGATTAAAACATTTGATGTAAAAAATAAAAAAATAAAAAAATAAAATAAAATAAGGGGATTGGGGGAGGGGGGGTTATCGAATCAAATTGAAACAAAATTATAAATTCAAAGTCAAAATCAAAGTAATTAAAATTAAAGAGACCAAACTAAAACAATATCCACCCATGTAATTTGCCTTAGTGTGTGTGTATTTTTTTTTTTTTTTTTTTTTTAATTAGTATTCAAAATGAGTTGGTTAAAAATAGGAGTACAAAACAAAGTAGTAGTGCACGATGTTCCTACGTGCAATTATAAGTCTTAGAAAAGTAGCAGGTTTTTGAATTAGTATTCAAAATGAGTTGGTTAAAAATAGGAGTACAAAACAAAGTAGTAGTGCACAGTCTTCTCGCCGTTGTTCAAGAATTATATCTATTTTTTATATTATTATAAAAGATTAATAATTCCAGGACTAATATTCCTATAAATGTTAATCTCATCTAATCAATTTTGTCCAAATAACCGTAACCTAGAACGCTTGGTCTATGTTTGTTTAGACGATATAACTTTGGAATTAGACTAATAATTCAACAAAATATATAATTTTACATTTGGTGACAAAAATTGAGGCTTAAACTAAGTTCACATTTGTTTGGCTCCATAGGATGGAGATGATTAAGTGAGGAGATTATTAGTGTAGTAATATTATGTTAGAGATGTAAGCTAAAGAGTGTTTGTTTGTACACCACCAAATTAGTAATGTTATAGATAGTATTAATATATAAAATTAATATTTTTTAATTTTTAATTTTTAATTTTTTTAATATTATAATTATGTTTTTTCTAAAAATATATAAATTTTGCTTAAAAATTATTTAAAAATTCACTTATCCCCTCGCTCAATTTCTAGTTCCAATCCTACCATGGGATTGATAAAGCTACCAATAAGGGGATTACTCAACTTGGGGAGGCTGTTGCGTATAGTGCATAGCAACCACTGTTGCATGTCCAATGGAACCTTTTCCAAGCTTTATTCTGACAATTTGAATTATTCATTTTTTAAAAGACATCGCATAAAACGTGTTTGTAAAAATTTAAGTTAATTGGATATCGGTATCCCTTTCATTAAGTCATGTTTGTATTCAGACTTATACTGAAAATTAAATTTACCATTCAATTTTTTAGATATAAATATGCCTTGATAAAAGGAATATCAATATTCGATTAACTTGAATTTTTTTAGGTATATTCTACTCGATATCTTTTAAAAATTGAGCGATTCGGATTGTTAAAATGAGACCCAAAAAAAATCTCATTAGCTGCATAACGGTGGGTGCTCCACACCATACATAGCAGCCACTCCAAACCCGAGATTACTAGTCCAAGGGAATAGTTAATCCCCTCACTTATGTCCTCAACCACACACTCTATAAATGAGTCTTACGGACTATTAATCCAATATTCCTTTCCAAAAAGCTAAACAAACATGGTCTATGATTTCGTTTGGAAAGTAGATTGATTTTTTAATTTTTTAGCTTTTAGCTATTTTAATTTGGGGGATTAAAAAACTTTTTTTTTTTCTTGAGCAGGCTTAAAAAAAAATCTCATTTAAGTTGAACTTTTTAATTTTTCAAATTTTTGTAAAAAAAAAAATTTTATTTTATTTTTTGACCCCTTTAACTTAAGTCTCGTTTGGAAATAAGCTATTTTAATAATATTTTGATCTTTTATAAAAAGATGTATAAAAAATAATAAGAATAATATGACAATTTATAATAATTTTTTAATTTTTAAACTAAGGCCAAGTTTGGCAAGTCCCAAAAAATTCAAAAAGTTAAAAAGTTATATAAAAAGCAAAAAAGTCATTACTGTTCACAAATAAAAAATATTAAAAAAATATTTTATATATTTTTATAATATAAAAGTTTGAATTATACTATCAGCCGTACTCCCCCAGCATGAAGGCAGGTCGTACACTTTTTGGACCAACAAAAAAAAATTACATATGTAAAGCCACAAAGTTTGATGATAATATTGGGCTCGTAGGGGGGCCACTAAGGGTTCCATTTTGACAATCTGAACTGTTCAATATGTAGAACTCGTCGAGTACTATATGTTTGAAAAAAAATTATGTTGATTGGATATCGTTAACTATATGATCAAATCAATTTTGTATAAACAAAACGGACGGTGTGATAGTTAACTGTTAAAAAAAAACTAATCCGATCATATAGCTATCGATATCCGATCAATGTGATTTTTTACAAACATATAATACTCGACGAGTTGTACATATTGACAGTTCAAATTATTAAAATGGGACCCGTGGTGGCCCTCACGAACCGACCATCATGTCCAAACACTTTGCTCCGAAGGAGACAATAATTTACTGTGTAAGACACACTGTCCCAGCAGGACAGCCGTACAACCTACTCAACTTTCTTCCCTATACACTTTATTTATACAATTTTTTATTACACATTTTTTTATAAAACAATAAAAAATTAATCTAAATATTTATATTTTTTTCTTAATTTTTTAATTCAAAAAAATAAAAAATACACTTAAAACACTCTAAATGACTGCTAAAATAATTACTCTCCGAACGAAACTTTAGTAATCCTATAATTTTTGTTAGCATGCGACCCAATTAATGATACACCGTCCCTGATATCACGACGTGGCAAGAATGAAAACCAATTTCACCACTCGTGCGGGGTTAAACAGGAGCTATCATGGACCCCACTTGTTGCTTACACAATTCCTTCCTTCCTCCTCACGAGTACTCTGCCGTCTCTCTCTCTCTCTCTCTCTAAACATAGAAGCAGAGAGAGACTATTGCAGAATTTTAGAACCAGAGAGAGAAAAACAACGCACACATACATGCATGTATATATGTATCTATATCTATATGTATTGACATTTTCTTTTCTTTTCTTGCTCTTTTGTAGTATCAATCCAATATCAATCGGTCTCTCGCATTTCTAGGATCTTTCCAGATCCGAAAATCTCTCTCTCTCTCTGCTTCTTGTTTTGGATAACCATGTCAAAACCCCCCATTTTCGATTTTTGAATTTTTCTCTGGTCATCCTTTGCTGTCCACCTTTGGATTTTAACCCAATCGACGGCTTTACCCGATTTGGTGTAGCGAATTTCGGAGTTTCTGCCTTCGATTTGAACATTTCATTTGAATTTTTTTTTCTGGTTTGGTCTCTCTATCTCTCTATCTCTTTCTATGTGAATTGTGTTGGGTTTGTTTGCATTTCTCAATTTTGCATCAATGTGCGTTCATCGTGATTATCTTGGATCTGGGTTGATTTTGGATTCGTGTTTTGTGACCACATTATTGGGTTTTCTTTATTGGATTAGGGCTTTTGTTTATGTGCTTTGAATTCCAACATTTGTTTTTTTTCTCTTGGTGCATTTTGAATGTGAGGGTTCAAGTTGTTGATTTGAGAACAAATTTGAGTGGGTCAGAGCTTGGGTTTATCATCTCCAACAATCACCCTTTTGAGAACTTGGTATTGATATTGAGGTTCTATGGTTTGTAGTTTACTTTTGAATCATAGAATTCGTACATGTACAGTGCCTGTTGGATGATATATTGATTAGGATTGAAGGTTGTGTTGGGGAAAATAGGAGTATTAAGGGTTTTGAGAGGAATTTGGGTTGAATCCCAAGCTTAACACCGCATGAATTGCAGCCAATTAATCTGGATTTTGTGTTGGGAGTCGAATAGAATTGTACAATTTCTTGTTCTGGAACAGGGGACTGTGAAGTTGGATCACCATGGGCTGCATTTGCTCAAAAGGAGCTTCTGCAAATGAGTATGTTGATAACCATGCGAGGGACAAAGATTCGAAAAAAGCTTCGAAGCGGCTTGTTGCCTCCTCGAGAAGAGAGGAAGTTATAGTTGAGGTTGATAATGGTGGTAATGATGCAACTGCAAGGCTTATATCAACAGAACCCACTGTAGAGAATGTGGGCACCCCAACTCCGACTCCATGGGATGAGGGGAAGAACAAGGCTATGGTTCAAAGGCTTTCGACAATGGATACTGGGGTGAGTGGTGCACAACCACATGTATCCCGGGTATTTAGCATTAGTGGTGAAATTAATGGAGCACAAGTTGCCGCAGGATGGCCATCTTGGCTAAGTGCAGTGGCTGGGGAAGCTATCAAAGGGTGGCTACCTCGAAAAGCAGACTCCTTTGAGAAATTGGACAAGGTCTATTTAAGTTCAAATCTTTTCACTTTATCCCATTACATTGCACACTGTTTCATATTCAAATATGATGATGGTGCACTTTGTAGATTTCATTTTCATAATTGTTTCACTGGCTGGAAATTACACATGCTCACACTATCCCTTTCTTCATTTGTACACTTGGCATTTCTTTCCTTTTTCGCATTTTACTTGCACAGTGATGGAACATCTTTGCCATGGCTCCAAATTGTACATGATTTCACATTTACTTTGTTGGTGCTTAGAATTCTATTTCTCATATCTTTTAGCTTCTCTCGTGTTGGTTTTGGATCTTGTATTCTTGTCTAGAACCAATTAATAAAACAAGTTTCATTCTAGTGTACATCTACTTACCTGAAAGAATGAAACTTAGCTGAAAAAATCTTCAAAGTTTTTTTACATATGTTTTTTTGTTTGTTGGTGTAATTTGTTTGCTGGTTACAATATATTAAATCTGCATGAGAAATGAGAAAAAGATCACCATTTTAGTACCTTATATATTATACAAAGAATCAATTCTGAGTAACTACGTAACTGGTGAAAAATTGATGGAATAGCATTTCTAGGATTGGTTTAGACCATTTTGGTTAAAATTAAAAAAACTAGAGGTCGGTGCATATGCTATGCTTGTGTACTTTAACCCTGTTGAAACCCTTAGTCAAGTGCAAAAGGAGAGTGATATATTGCAAAGATTAAAAATGAGGCAGTTATCACATGAGTGAACCATTAATTTTCGTATTTACCCTGTATATTTAGTGGAGACATGAGTTAACCATTGATTTTTCTATTGATCCAAACGCGAAAATTTGGATGCTAAAAAATAATAATTTCTTATGATGTTTTTGAATTTTTTCGATGAAAAATTAATTTCCATGACAGTTTCCCACAAATAAAAATACTAATTTAAATTGTTAAAAATCCGTTCAAACTTAATGTTGCAATCAAATATATACTACAACTTTTAAAAAATTAATTTTTCATGTCAATTTGTCACAAACAATTTTATACAACTTTTCTCAAAAGCCAAAGTTCAAACACTTGGTGAGTATATCCACATTACTTGCAATTGTTATTGATATTGACATTGATAGAAGAGTCAAGCAATAACAATTGTATTACTGAAAAGACAGAATACAAAGATGATGTATTATGTTGGTCATTGAAACAGTCTCTAGGCAAGAAAGTAAGAATGGTAATTCATAGAATCACAGCCTAGAACCCTTCTCTCTACACAATACCCGTTTATGTCATCTGCAGGAGACAAAAACTGTGAGAAAACAAATGTTACCATTCAACCAAACTCGTTGATGGAAACTGCAAATGCCCTTCTTTTGTCATCCAATGTCACGTCTGCTTTCTACAAAGTGAAGATTTCAAAAAATTTCACCTGAAAAATCTAACGCGTTGAAGAAACCTGAAGGCAGCATCAAAGTCGGCCACAATGGTGGCATAGAGGCGGGTGAAGGTGTTGTCACCGGTGACTTTGATAATGCTTTGTGCTTCTTGATCACGCTCATCCCTGTTTTCATCTCTCTCTCTCTATATATATATATGTGTGTGTGTGTGTGTGTTTGTGTGTGTAAGAATGCTAAGAAGGAAAAGAGTGGAAGAGGGGAGAGGGAGAGAGAATAATATTTGTTAGTGCATATAGAGGAATAACTGCACTGCAGGTTTTCCATGTTTGTCCCTTGTGGTTAGTGATGATAAGAGTGTTTAGATTGTAAAACAATAATTTTTATGGGATAATTTTGGTATTACAAAATAACATTACGCAACTTCATTCTATCGTTCACACCAAGGTGAGGCGCTGCTGTTATAATATAGTATAGATAGTATAGATATATTGACCCATGCATACATATATATTGCATAATTCAAATGAAAGATGTTTTTATGTGCATTAAAATATACTGAATTTGCATGTGTGCTTATATACTTGTTCAAACAACTACAAGACTATATTCAACTTGTAAGTATTTGATGTTTTAGTTGCCACTACTCTATTGAACTGGTCCACTGACTATGCCAATTCAGTTCCCCAATTACTTTAATTGAAAAGTCTAAGGCTGTGCTAGGTATTTCTTACTAGATCTTTATAAGTCCACATTGTATGTGGTGACTAATTGGACAAACTGTCTATGGACACTCAAATGAAATTCAACAGGTTTGTTGAATCTTGTTTTTTTCTTCCCTTTTTTTGGGATAAGTAGTTCAAAAGTGTTTTATTTGAATGGATTGGTTCCATGAAGTGCTCTATAATTTTTTTGTCCAACTAGAGTCTTAAACAACTTCTATTAGGACCGAACTGATGTAGCATTTGTACTAGCATATTGGATCTTTGCATGATAATTAAGGTCTTCATGCCCCTGGCTAACAGAAACAACTAGAATACAGTTGGCCCTGTAATGAGTAATATTTTATAAGTTACATCCTCTTTGAGGATTCATCTTTGCTATATGGTGAATTTCTAATTTTGCTTACATACTAATTAATAACATTTCTCAAATCCCTTTCTTTTAATATTAATCATTAGCAAAACATATTGATATATACATACGGGTTATTAAATTATATAACATTATTTTATTAGTAATAAAGAAACAGATTAGGAGCTTTTATGGTTTATTTATATAGATGCAATATATATGGTTCTTTTAGTGAAAAGAGTGCATTATCCTTGGTGATATGTGTACAGTACATGTCCTATAGCAATGCTGAAAATCGTATACTTGTGAGTTGTTGTGAGCTAGTATTTTCATTCTTAATCAGGGAAGTACTTGTATTAGTCAACAAGTTTTATTATGTCCTAGGGCCAGGACTATTAATTATTACAGGGTTGACTGTAGTTCATTGTAAGGTTGGTTGTTATTTATTTATTGTTTTAACTCAAAACAATTGAGTAATAGGATAAAAGATCACATGGGTTTCACTTTGAACAGCCTTCATTATGAAGTTGTTTGACTTCAATTTGTTCATAATTCAAATATTCTATGCAGCTTGATGTCATTTTCACTTATTATTTCTCAAACCTAAATTTTAGGAATATGTTACACAATAATTTGTTATTAATTAATGTTTATGCTTGTCTTTGTTTCATCCATTTCTGTCTCTAACTTTAACTGATATGCTATTGATGCAGATTGGACAAGGAACTTACAGCAGTGTGTACAGGGCCCGTGATCTTGAGACTGGAAAAATTGTTGCTCTAAAGAAGGTCCGTTTTGTTAACATGGACCCCGAAAGTGTTCGCTTTATGGCAAGGGAAATCCTTATTCTACGACGATTGGATCACCCAAATGTCATGAAGCTTGAAGGTCTTGTCACTTCAAGGGTGTCAGGCAATTTATACCTTGTATTTGAATATATGGAGCATGATCTTGCTGGACTTATAGCATCACCCACAATCAAGTTTACTGAACCACAGGTATTTGCTTTTCCCTCGCAGTCTGGGGTGTCATTAGACAAACTATATGAAAGAATCTGACAGAAGTGATGGGAATCCTATAATGCCAATTCAGGTTAATTTTTGCAGTTTAAAAACCAAGTGTCCTAGATGTAATGCAAGATGCTCATGCAGATTTATCTGTGTGACAGAGTGAAGCTTGCATTATTGGTGCCGTTTGTCAACCGACAACATTCTCTTGGTCAATCATCCTAATCTAACATCCCAATACAATCAAAACCATGCTCTAGACAGATATATCTCAAGTTTTGTTTTACTATTATATACTAATATCTCGATGCCCTCATATTATGCATTACCTCATGATGCATGCTTTATCCAAAAGCATCAAGCCATGCTTTTTTATACTCTTTATTACCCTTGAAAGCCAACATATGTATTTTTGCACGAATATCTTATTATTGGTGTTGAATGTGATGGGTATGCAGATTAAATGTTACATGCAACAGCTACTTCGTGGACTTGAGCACTGCCACAGTCGTGGTGTCCTGCACCGTGACATCAAGGGCTCAAATCTGCTGATTGATAACAAAGGAAATCTCAAGATTGGCGATTTTGGGTTGGCGACCTTTTTTCGCTCCAATCCAAAGCAACCTCTAACAAGTCGTGTGGTAACTTTGTGGTATCGGCCTCCTGAGCTTTTGCTTGGTGCTACAGATTATGGAGTTGCTGTTGATTTGTGGAGTGCTGGTTGCATTCTTGCAGAATTGTATGCCGGGAAGCCAATCATGCCTGGACGAACAGAGGTACTTCACCTTCTTGAAAGGTTTGAATAATGGATAATAATAGTTAATGTGCATTTTGCTTTCTTAAAGGTGATTATATACTCATTGTTTTAGACAAATAGAATTTTTTATGATTAAAACGTAAGAGTTAAACAGCAGTTTTGTGTGCTTGTGACAGAGAATGGTTGGAAGAACAAATGCATGGGCAATGTTACCCACTGGTGATGTTTTATTAGACTATAATTGTGCGGTTATTAAAGCTTCTCTTAGTGGATCTGCTTGCCTATTTCCTATTTTTTTGCCCGAAGTGACATGAAGGCCATTGATTTGGTCCATTTCTGATCATATTACTGACAAAAGACAACCCCAAGGGGTTGACCTGGTGACAAGGCCTTGGGTCTTGGGGGTGTGTTCCCTCAAAGGTTCATGGATCGAAACCTCTTAGGTGCTAACAAATCCTTAGGGCCATCGGACTGGGGAAACCCTTGAATTAACCGTGGTGCACTTGCAGGAAACTCCTTGTGGAGGGCTTGTGCACCCCTGGGGGTTAGTTTGGCTTTGATCCGAACACTCCAGTGCCAATCAAAATATATATATATATTATTGACAAAAGACGTATGTATTGAAAAAGGGGAGAAGAGCTGGGAAATTGGGTCAAATAAGTAGGTTATGGAACTAAGAAGCTGAAAAACTAGTACAGTAGTACCATTCATATGTGAAATGAAAATATCTGGAAAACATAGTTTAGATGGAATGCTGTGGTTAACGTAATGGTTACTATCAAAAGGGGTAAGTATTAGTTGTAGCACACAACACACAAAAACTGAGAGTTTGGTAGTGACAAATTGATTTTATGGAAAGCTAAGAATAAGGTGTATGATGTTTTTCTTAATTAACTAGGCACAAGGAATGTGGGAGAATGCCTGTATGAACTTGCGGGATGTGGAAGACACAGTAGGAATTTAAATCATGTTAGATTCATTAATTAGAGAGCTTTAGTGAAGGAGGATGAGGAAAAGTCCTTTATGATGGTTCATTGATTTGCAATGAACACTTCTAAGATGCAGTACTATAGAGTGGTTTCAGTTATACCGAAGGCTACTGCTTCAGAGTGACCAGCGGTGGACCAAAAAGGTTTAAAGTGGCAACAATGTAGTTGCTCATCACCTATTGGAGGGAATGGCCTTATATAGGTTAAATAGTAGTATTTGTTGATGAAATCCCAAATTCATGTGATTATTATCTTTCTTTTATGCAATTTTAGTGATTTGCCGTGGTGGTTTGATTTAGGGACAAAATCATATTTTGAGCAGTAGGGACAAAATCATATAAATTAAGAGGATGCGACTCCTCCAAAGGAAGGGCTTTTATGTGCTTGAGCTGCATGAAAAGATGTTTGATAACTGATTCACAGACAAGGAAGGGCTTTTATGTGCTTTAGCTGCATGAAAAGATGTTTGATAACTGATTCAGACATTGGCAATCACCACTGTCATCAGTTCTGAAATGTCATTTGATGGATGGCTTAGCTCATGGGTTGTATAAAAAGACTTCTGCCTTCTTGTACTAAATAAATGTTGTAAGTCAGACCTTGTAAGTTTTTAATGCCCCAATACACAGATGCACACTCGCACACCAATAAAAGAAAAAGAAAAAGAAATTTGAAGTCCTTACAGCAATAAAATACACCATCTGGGCTCATCGTTTAGTAGTTCATTTTGTCATTTGATTGTGTAAGTTGGAAATCAGTATAATGTATGGATTGATGTGGCTATGCTTTGCAGACCACCATTCTTGTACAACTGGGAGTCCTAATTTTTCAGATGTTTCTGTGAGATTTTGTTTTATTTTTTGTATGGTATGTATAATAAACTCTTTGGATTGGTATGCTTTAGGTGAGCTGGATTTGATTGGTCATTGAGATGTTCTTGTATGGTTTACAGGTGGAACAACTTCATAAAATTTTCAAACTTTGTGGCTCCCCATCTAATGAATATTGGCAAAGATCGAAATTGCCACATGCGACTATCTTTAAACCTCAACATCCTTACAAGCGTTGTTTTGCTGATACATACAAGGACTTCCCATCTTCGGTTTTAGCTCTTTTGGATGTCCTCCTTGCAGTTGAACCTGACCACCGGGGATCGGCTTCTTCTGCACTTAAAAATGAGGTATAAAATTGAATTTCATGGTGGTATATTTTCTTTGTAGCATTTTATTTAGATGTTTCAACCTTTTCAACTTTTTATCCTACTTGTGGCTTCATATTCTATCTCTTGTCTGTGCATTGCACAAGAACCACTGATCAGAAGCTTTAAACATCACCATCTATAATCCCTTGTAACAAATTTTTCTTCTTCTAGAACTAGTTTTTTATTGGAAATTTTCCATCCTACCTTCTCGAGTTCTCAATCATGGTTTGTCTTATGGAAATTGGGTTAAGAGAAACGGTTAGAACTGATTTGAACAGACTGTTGGTTGTCTCTGTACAAAACAATGGTGCTTGACAACTGATGTGCATTTGAATTATAGGAGCTAGCAATTGCCTTTGTGCTTATATTGATAATGCTGTTGTTGATGGAGTGGTGATGGATGCCACATTTCAATTGGATGCAATTCTTTCAGGCACACTTTTCTTTGTTTTTGGATGTTATTCTAGATCGATACTTTTCTTAGGGGTTTTTGCCCAGAAGTTCATCCATTTTGAATTTTGATTGGATGGGATGCTTTAATAATCCAATTGCTACATTCATATTTCTTTTGGTACTTTCTTTTCAGTCATGGGATATTCATGCTAATCTTGAATATGCTTTGATGTTGCTGATTTCCAGGAGTTACATAGATTTGAGTCTATTTTTCCTTCTTTTTTTTTTCAGTACTTCACAACAGCACCTCTTCCTTGTGATCCGTCTAGTTTTCCCAAGTACTTGCCAAGCAAGGAATTTGATGCCAAGCGTCGAGAGGAGGAAGCGAGGAGGTATGCAGTCCCTGCTTTTGTATAAATATTTACTCCATTCCCATACTCCAATTCGGTTGCAAACCATTGTTGGGAACTGAATGTAAAGGAAAAATAAAAAGATACTGGGAAGCCTTTCTTAAAGATCTGTTGCATGTACTTAATGTTGGTAGTTGTGAAGATGCAACTGTAGGAACAATTGTATCTTCTCCCGAACAGTAGGGAACACATGCTTGGAATGCCCTTGCTCTCTTTGTTGCAAAACAGATTTTTTTTTTCTTTTTTTCTTCACCTTATTTATCGTACGCATGGCTCCTTCTTCATGCCAGGCAAAAAGCAGCTGCTGGTAAAGGGCAAGCACAAGAATATTACAGAAAAGGCTCGAGAGAATCTAAAGCAGTGCCAGCACCTGATGCTAACGCAGAATTGCAGGAGTCAATAGTGGTATTTCCTGTTCTCTAAGGCTTATACAGATGGACATACTTGTCTGTGTTTGCACATATAACTTGTATATAATGCTTTTTTATACATCTAGAATGAACAAGTAGTTATGTTTGTTTTTTGCTTTTTGCTCATAAAGAAGCGACAAAAGCAGTCAAACCCTCAAAGCAACAGTGAGAAATACAATCCTGAAGAAGATGGTGGGTCTGGCTTCCGTATGGAGCAAGTTGGTGCTTTTGGATCTTCGATGAATGAAGGTTGTTCGCAACAACCATTTGCTTCTTCAAAAAATGGTCTAGTCTCCGGAACCCAGAAATCTTTCATACCTCAGGGATTAGGCCAATTTTCCAAGTTTTCCAATTCAGTTGCAGCTCGAGGCAGTTCACGGTTTGATATGAGCCGAGAGAGAAATGGGAATCCACACTGGCCTGAGCAGCGTCTGAATGGCAGATATAATCCAATAGATGATGCGGGGTCCTCTGTAAACCATGGATGGCCCCAGAAGAAGGATGGACAGGGACCAGGAAAGGAGTCTACAATGGTAAAAGGATCCCTTCAATTCTTTACTAACTATTTTTTATTTTTTATTTTTTTTTTCATTTAAGAAAGTTCATAGAAATGCCTCCATACTGACTGGTTCATGAATTTCCATGAGATTGAGATCAAGTTGCTGAACAATTGTCCAGAGAAATTGTTATACTAATTAAAAAATAGAAAGTTCTGGGAATTTGGACTTCAGGCAAACTTGGTTTCAAATGAACAGGAAAATAAAATTAAATTAAACAATAAGCCAACCATATCATGGGGTAACTGAACTCTCTTTACCAGGACTGTTTGGTGCAGCTTATATGAGTTGTTTTTAGCTTTTTCAACAGAAACAGCTTAATTAAGTTGAAAAAAACTGATTATTTAGAAGCTGGAGGAGGGGTGCTTTGGGCTTGTGCTTTCTAATTATTTGCTTTTAGCTTACAATAAGTTGTACCAAACAGCTATATCCTTCTCAAGGAAAATAATTGAAACTCTAACAAGTCTAAATTGTCTTAACTAGAAATCCATGAAACTATGGGCCTCGTTAAGACAATTTAGACTCGTTAAGAGTTTCAATTATTTTCCTTGAGAAAGATACATTGGGCATGTTTAGTGCATAGCTTTTAGCAAGCTGAAAGCTGATAAGCAGAAAGCAAAAGCTAAAAGCCTCTCTCCCCTTGCTTCTCTATAATCAACGTATTCAAGCTATTTCTGCCTCATTAGTTGCATCAACCACATGACGCAAATTTCTAAAATAAAAAAACTATAAGTAACTCCATATACTGCACCAAACAAACCCTATGTAACTTACACTTGCACGGTTCATGATAGTCATAAGTGGTATAGTAATGAGACAAACTTATCGCTGCAAAATAGTTCAAAGTGGTTATGATGAATCAATAATAGCTTATAAACTTTCGTATATTTAAGTTCTGTATCTACAGAACCTTTTTAGTTAATGTGCTTATCACTTTGGTTTGACCTTAGGTTTATTCTCCGAAGAAGAATCGGATCCACTACTCAGGACCGTTGCTTCCGCCAGGTGGAAACATTGAGGAAATGCTCAAAGAGCATGAGAAACAGATCCAACACGCTGTCCGCAAAGCTCGCCTCGACAAGGCCAAGACCAAGAAAACATATGCTGATAATGGACAAACTGAATCACTATTAATGCACTATGTGGGAAATGGCCGGTGACCTTTCAGAGTAACTTTTTTTAACAGAACGGCGCAGTTCTCATGTGATCCTTCGGCCTTTTTGTCAGCTAGTTCATCGCTATGAGAGAAACTTGGATTTCAAAGACCTTCGGCTTTGGCTGCATCAGAATATCCCTTTTCTTTATCCATGATATGCTACATAGTTCCAACCTTCAAAACGGTTTAGGTGATGAGGAATTAATTGTTCAATAATGTGCAGCCATGCTCGGTGAGATTGATAGACTGGTCGATCATTCAGTTGGACAAGGGAGATTTTTTTTTTGGGTTGCTGAAGATATTCATGTACAGCTCAAAGCTAGTTTTACTCTAGCCAACATTACATCATTTAATGTAAAGGCCAAGCCTAAGCCATTGATGCAAGTTTCCAGAAATTTGAGGCCTCAGCCACCATCAGTGTCGAGCAATTTTCGTCAATTAACACAAAATTTCTTTTGATCAGTTTACAAATTCTCTTCGTTGTGACATTAATTCTCTGTTTGGTTGCAAGTATTTTATGCCAACACAAAACACATCAGCTTCTTTTGATGCATGGTTTTATACCTTAATGTGCAGATCTGCCATTGGAGATGAGATGAATTGTGATAATTTAGGACGATTGATTTCTGTTTTCTTGAGGATGATAGTTCTGCTGAGAGTATGGAAATTGTTGACTGGAGTAACCTCACTTGATGAGTGTGCTTTCAAGTTCTTCTGTTTTGTATGCCATGACCATGAGTTTTTTATTTTTTGAATGAGATCATGTAAACAGAACTTTTCCTATCTACCAAATTTTCAAATGATACTCTCTTTAATTACCACAATTTTTGTTTTTGGGGTTTAGAGAAGACAACACATGTTTGGTACGCACATAAGTTTTCAAAACTAACAAAGAAATATGTTTGATGAGTTGCCGGAGGTGGTGATGATTAGGGTGGCGGTGGGAAGGGGTTAACTAGAGGTGGTGAATTAAGGGCTGTCTTTAAAGTGCTGATTAGGGTGGCAGTGGGAAGGGATAACTAGAGGTGGTGAATTAAGGGCTGTCTTTAAAGCGAATGAGAACACAACTTTTTTGCTTTCTATAATTCTGTAAATTTCGAATAGTGTTAACATTTTTTTAAAACGAAAATAGGGAGACTGTTTTCGCTTATAGTTTATAATTTAATATATATATATATATATATTGACAGTAAACACTGCCAAGCATACCCTTAACCTCTGCATTTTTCTTTTTTCTCCTCTCTTTCATTGTCTCTAGGTACACTACCAATTGCGTCACATACATCAACCAACTGTTGGTTAGGAATTTGCCATGAACAAGGAACCTTGAAAATGTGGGTAATGATTTCCAAACTAAACTCACAATCTTTCTTGCTTTTCCCAAAAATCACAACTTTTTTGTTTATCCACGTCAAACTTTGCTACTTTTAAAACATATAAACAATGTAGGTAAAACCATCTCACCAATAAATCAACGTGACAGCTCTACCATCATCCAAATCCTCAAAATAGAACACCAAACATATGCAGATCCACCAACCACTCTGTTTTGCTTCATCCTAAATCTTTTCAGTTCTCTAGTCCTCATCAATGTTTTAACACTTAAACCCTTCATTTCTAAGTCATCTCTAGGCATCAAATAGCCCTCCCTACCCTCACTCACTCACTCCTCTTCCTCCAAACTCACACCCCTTACCCTTACCCTTTATCTATCCAATTCAAACCAGAATACAACCTTTCATTTTCCTCTCTTGAACCATTTTCCCACTCTCATCTTCTAAACAACATTTCAAGCAAACAAGAACAAGAAGATGAGGCCAAAAACCCAAAACCCCTTGAAGAACCCTAAACAACTTCTCCTCATTGGCGTCTTCCTTGCTTTCTTTCTTCTCTTTGTGCTAAGATCGAGCTTCTCGTCATCATTATCATCATCATCCGAGCAAAACACGTCTCCAATCTCCGAAACTATTTCCCAAAGTGTTTCTCCAAAAGCCTCAAAATCAAAACCAATAAAAAATTCCAACCCAACAAACTGCTCACCAACTTGCACCAAAATCCCACCCTCCCTAGCCCAAACCCTCATCCACTACACAACCTCAACAATCACTCCGCAACAAACACTCAAAGAGATCTCGGTGACAGCCAAAGTATTAGCCAAAAAGTCCCCATGTAACTTCCTAGTCTTCGGGCTAGGCCACGACAGCCTAATGTGGAGTTCACTCAACTATGGCGGGCGAACAATCTTTTTGGAGGAAGATGAGGCGTGGATCGGTCAAATAAAGCGTAGATTCCCTATGTTAGAGTCATACCATGTCACATATGACAGTAAAGTGAACCAAGCAGATGGGTTAATGGAGGTTGGGAATGGTCCTGAGTGCACAGCAATTGGTGACACAAGGTACTCTATGTGCCAACTAGCACTCAAGGGCTTGCCAAGTGAGGTTTATGAGACAAAGTGGGATTTGATCATGGTTGATGCACCAACAGGGTACCATGATGAGGCTCCGGGGAGGATGAGTGCGATATACACTGCGGGGATGATGGCAAGGAACAGGGAGGATGGGAAGAGTACTGATGTTTTTGTGCATGATGTGAATAGGGAAGTGGAGGATAAGTTTTCTAGAGCATTTTTGTGTGATGGGTATATGAGGAAACAAGAGGGGAGGTTGAGGCATTTCAGAATTCCAAGTCATAGGGACAGTTTGGACAAGACCTTCTGCCCTTGAACAACTTTTTTAGCCCTTTTGGCCTTTTAACAACTTTCTTTTTCTTACCCTTGTGTTGTCTATTACTCTTTTTGCCAATTGTGTTTTTGCCCATGAAGGGAAATAAATATATATTTTTTTTTGTAAGTTGTTTTACAAGTATTGCTAGTGTTAGATGCGCAAACCAGGCCTCTGCTATGGCCTAACCTAACAGTTGGCCATTTTTACAGGTCCTATGGACATCATCTACACTGGATGTGGGATGCTAAGTCCATTTTATACATCAGCATCTGCATTTGATGTGGGATGCCAACATCCTCACCACTATAGCTAAAAAGGCACACATCCTATGTAGGATGTCCAGTCGCCTTTATACGTTCATTTTGGACATCAGCTGCATTCAATGTGGGATGCTAAGTCCATTTTGAACATCATCTGCATTCAATGTGGGATGCCATCATCCCCTCCGCTACAGCAAAAAAGATGCACATCCAATATAGCTAGGAAGCCGACATAACCACCCCTACCTCTAATGTTTTGTCTGCTATGGCCAACCCAATAGCCAACTCATGGGATTATTCCTTTAGGATGTGTCTGGATCATGGAGTTGGACAGGGATTTGGACAAGAAAAGGAAAAAGCTGAAAGAAATATAAGCTCCCTTTTCCTTTCCAAATCCCTTCTCTTTCATTTTCCAAATCTCTATCCAAATCCATAATACAAACACAATGTTAGGCTTCAAGCTCAAAAGTGACCACCAAATAAAAGTGTCCTGCGCAGTCTTTATAAGTCCATTATGGACATACTTCGCATCTGATGCCAACAAGTACGTCATGGGTTTTCCATGCCATCCCATGCCTTCAATACTTACAGAGGCATGAAGGCTATCTTTGGATCATGGATTTGGGTGATTTGGAAAGAGAAAGGAAAATGTGAGACATTGAGAAAAAATTTATGATCCAAATCCCTCACCTTTTCTTTTCCTTCCCAAATCTCTACTCAAATCCATAATCCAAACAAAACTAAAAGAAAAATGAGAGGAAAAGCAATCAATCCAGCTTTATTGAACTTGAATAAAATGGCACAAGAAGGATAATTTAGCTCACTATTACATGAGCAACCATCTGATCAAAACTGCATTGAATATGTCCCATTTGTTCTTCAATTACTCAATAAGAGGTCTTTTGATTTATTCTATTCCTTCTGTTTTATGATTAATATCTAGATGAATTATATTGCAGTGGTAGAGTTCTTCCAGTTTGATTTACTTGGTTTTGTAGCACTGCAAATTCAGTAGCAATTCACATCGGTTTTTTTTTTTTTTGGGTGTGTGTGTGGAAATACATCAGTGAGTTGGTAGTGTTAGTAGGGGAGTGGGATGGGGCTACTGGGGTTGGAACCTATACCAATGAGGAGGCCAAGCAAGCACCCGATCACTTGGATTTCAATAAAAAGTGCATATCAAGCATTATACCTCTTTTCTAAATTTTTCTACTTCATGCTTATCACTGTAAAACAAATCAAACTACTCAATCTCAACTTATATTTGGTTCGTTAAAAACTCAATCGAGATTGGTTTGTTTTGTATGTGAAGAAGGTGATGTGAACACATTTTGATGCTAGTTAATTTTCTAAGCTCAATTTGAAATTGACTTTATAAGCTTATATTATATGCACTATAGAATTGTATAAAAAATCAATCTAGTTGAACTTGACTTGTGGCCAGTTCAATTAAAACTCATTTGAAATCGGCTTCACAAATAAAAAGAAAAGCTCAAATGCATTTTAAAAACTCATTAAATTTTCAAACTAAACTTAAACAATAGTCTACTCGACTTTACAACCCTATTTATGCATTCAATTGTATGTTAGTGTTTTTTTAACCATTTTTCTTGAACAAGTTTGACTACTTGATGTAACTCCATGGTACACAGTCTTTCTAGCTTACTAATGTCTTCACAAAGTCATTTGCCTATCAAATTTTGAAAACACAACAATCATTTCATATTTATTATAGGAGAATAATTTACAAACATAATTTTTATATACAAAATCTCGTTCAAAATAACGTTACAATAATATTTTAATAAATATATGTTACAATGATGAATGTTTTGACTTGAAACAGAAAAACTACAAAATGTTTCAGCTTTAAGTTAAGCTATATATAAGCTGCTAAAGCCTAATTTTAAGCTACACCAAACACTCACGTTATATCATTTTGTATAAAAATTATATTCATAATAGAGTAAATTGCACTTGCCTCCTTGAGGTTTGACAATTTTAATACAATTAGCTTTACAAATTTGACATAATAACACCGATCTCCCTTTTACTAAATTAAAGCTACCAAAACTAATGCAAATGGTGATAGATACTAAAATAAACAAAGATAAATATACATTTTATTAGAAAATATATGACAATATCATTTTTCTCATTCATACGACCTTTGAGGTGAGTGTTATTTACGCTATATAATATTACCCTTTTGATCTTATTTGAACCTTCCCCAATTGTGCAGGTCTTTTCCAGTGAAACATGAGAGTTTTCATCCATAATTCAAAAAATTAAAGCAAATGACCAAATACATGTATTTAACCAAACTTGTAAGGCAGAGCATATTTCTCAAAACAACCAATTAAATATTTGAAATAAATTAGGTCATGTATTTTCAATTAATTATATTTAAATTATAAATACAATTGAAGTCAGGCATGGATGAAACCAACTACTTGTGTAAAGTCTAAAGAGTTGAGGTGAGATAAAGAGTTGTGCAAACAAGTATGCCATCCTTGCATCACTTACAATAATAAAATTTGGGACGTTTAGTTGAGGATTGGCATATTATTTAGCTCTAACTTCAAATTTTATTAAATGTCATAATGTAATCAAAAGACTATATATTCTTATGATTTTTGTTTAGGGTGCTCTTAGGATATACTTAAAATGATTGTGAATGATTAAAAGGGATTAGTAAGTGTGGATGGCATTTTTACCTCACACTAATTAATTAAGAGTTGAACAAAGAGATGAATTGTACCATTCCAAATATGTAAAAGAAATAATGGTTAATGTCACCCGATCGGCGATTGCCAGTTGAAGGGTATTCTGATGATCAAGTCAGATAGGGAACGATAAATGCATTGGTGAAGACATATCTCTTTTTGTTCTCCTTTTTAATGAATGCTACATGCTTTTATATACGCTAACATGCCACCCATTTCACCAATGAGCATAAATCACCCATTTCGTCCAATGTGAGTGAACCATATGTATGGCCAAAAAACTCATTTAGGTTCACGTATATCAGAACAAGTTGGCAAGTTATATCACAAATTATTAGTCTACTTTCTTAATACTTATTGGAAAAATTGCATTTTAGTGGAGTAGTGGGAAAAAAATTACATTTTCATGATGGTGCAACTCTCACGTGCATTGTGCAAATTCATTCATGTGTTTGGTGAAACTCTTCCTATATGTCAGAGTTGCACACAAAAAAAAACAAAAACAAAAACAAAAATTATTTGTAGCACAATTTTTTTCCCACAGCTCGATGTATTTGTAATTTTTACATAATTCCATATAAGAATTGGATGGGCCCATTTCACATGGGTTGAATTTTTTCTCAGGAAAATTACAAATCATGATTAGTTTGAGAAAATAGTTACAAATTCATAAAAAAATATGATTTTAATTATTAATAGTTATAAAATTTACCACTGATTAGTAATTATTTTTTACAAATATCACTGATGTGATATTTTTCCTTTTTTTTTTCCATAGTAAGCTAATTGGATTGTCCAATTAGACTCGCTATGGGTCCTTTTTAGGCCATTTTGATGATTTGAACTGGTCATTTGAAGAGCCCTCCAGGAAGATCATCCATACTTGCATTTAGTTTGATCGGAAATAAGTAACCATTTGATCGGATCATATTTATCTAAAAAAAGTTAGACAGACTACTTTCAAAATCATATTTTTTGTTAATTATTTTTAAATAAATGTGATCCAATCAAGTGTGTTACAATGTTTGATCAATCTTATTTTTCATAGGGCTCTTTTTTCATAAATCCTATTTCTAACTGTTTTATTCTATAAAACCCAAACCATTTTTGATTATTCCATTAGGTCCATTAATTGTAAAAAAACGAAATAACCCTCCCTCCACTTCTCCCGCATCTAATCGATTCTGAAAACAAACCCATTCCGATTCCATCTACTCAATCCACAAAACACTGATTTCCCAAACAAAATCTCATCGTCGACCCCAGATTCACATCGCCTCACGGTAACCCTACATTCACATTGCCTCACCACCATCGTCGTCCACCGTCCACTATTGTTTACATCGGAAGGAGGGTGGTTCGTTGTTCCAGAATTCCCGTCGGTCGACTGAGTGTAGTCCATCGACTGAGTGTGGTGTGGTCCATAGATTTCTGTACCCACCCACCATGAGGAACAAAAGTAAGTAATATCATTCCACCTTCTGTTTTTCAGTCATAATGTGATCACCGATGTATATATTTACATTGCCATATTATTGTTGTCGTTTTTGGATTTAATTTTGTAAACATCAGTGATGTGAACATTCACATTAATGTTCATTAATGGATGAACTCACAACAGTAGACACTGGTGTAAACATTGACATCAGTGTATATTAATGTGAATGTTCACATTACTGCCATTGTTGATATTGTTGATTGGTGATGTCCATAGAACCCCCAATCTTTACCCAAAAATGTGATGGAATATAATGTAAATATTCACATTGTGACATCAGTGTCAGACTTGTTGGATGTTGTTGGTTCCACCCTCTGTTTTTCAGCCAATTATAACATAATGTGATCACCAATGTATATATTTACATTGTCGTATTACTGTTGTTGTTTTTGGATTTAATTTTGTAAACATCAATGATGTGAACATTCACAATACTGTTCATTAATGGATAAACTCACATTAGTAGACACTGGTGTGAACATTCACATCAGTGTATAATAATGTGAATATTTACATTACTGTTAATTTCTCAATCAGTCATATTATGTTGTTGTTCACATTACATTTTGAACATAATGTTAATATTCACACTATAACATTCTAAACGTAATTTTATAATTTACATTGTGAATATAATGTTAA